GAAATATCAACCTCATCAACACTATTTTGGTGAAAAAAATCTGAAAAAATTCAGTTTCAGTTTGAAACTTTCTTTTTTTAAATGTTTTGGTTCAGCTACTGAACAAAAAATCAATTATTTGGTCAGGTCTACTTGATCAGTTCCCTGTCTTCTCTATTCATATGTGGAGAAAAGACACATTATCTCAATTTTTTACAAATGAGCAACTGAGTCGTAGAGATTAACTGACTTGCTCAATGTCACACAGGAAGTCCACTAAGCATCCATCCTTTCTGTTAATGTGTCTCTGTAGATTAATGAGATTCTGCTTTGCTTTTACTACATATTTGGATTATTTATCTTCATTAAATTGTAAACAGAACAATGGAATAGGGAAATATAGTATTAAAACACAGAGACCCTATTTTAAGCCCTTAAGCCATATTATAGTGCAGTTTTTGGGATTCTCTCTTACTTCAAGGCTTCATTTTGGGTGTTTAACTGCTGTATAGAAAGTCTATCCTCCTAATACAATAGTGTGATGTCCCCTTTCAATGTAAATATTAAGGTTAATTAATCCAGGGAAGAATTTGTAGAGTTTTCCATCATGGCCTCATAAAGATACTGAGAGAGAGCTACAAAGCCTTGGAGTGATGCCACAAAGCTAAAGAATGAAATAGGAGATGCCTGAGGAAGAGAATGGTTTTTAAGGCAACCCACATTAGCAGCAGAAAAGATGAGAGTGATCATGATAATATTTTCCAAAGGCATTATGAATATCCTGTCCATAAGAGGAATATAATATGAGAGAGCACGTTTTCATCAGTTGCTCCAAAATGAAGGAGGACACAGTTGAAGCCTTTTTTAGAAACCTATAGCAACTGGTTGAATACTTTGAGTTTGAGGAGAGCAATGAGTTTGTAAAAGGTAAACTTATGCTTGGAATAGGAACTAATAATCTATCTCAAAGGGGTTGCAAAAGACAGAAGGCCTAACCTTATAGAGTGCCATAGAATTCATCCTTCATTGCAGGTCGCCTTTAACTAAGTGGGAAGAAAACCTGAGTCCTTTCCTGGAGTTACTGGAAATAGATATGTGGCAGAAAGGTGGTCTGCCATTACGTTTTGGAAACAGCTGACACTTTTAAAGATAAAGGAATTTGTAAGCTGGAGAGCTAGCTTGTCAGTCCAGGAAGGAGCAATGCCACTGCAGAATCTGTTTCTGGCCCTTGCCCAAGGGCACAGCTTATTCGCTGAAGAGAAATTTAGGCAAAATACTGAACTAAAGTAGTTCCTCTGACCCCCACGGACTACAACTCTGAGAGGCTTTTCCCTCACCTCTCTCAGCCAGTGCCTTGACCCAGGTTCTCCCTCAGGCATTTCCACTCCCAGAAGTTCTCAATTCCAAGGCCCAAGCCACATTTAGGCATGACGGGGCACCTAAAAGTACACCAACAAAATCACCTTCAGTCAGGAAACAGGGTCAAGTCAACAGGCTAGCTGAAACAGAACATTTTCACATTCCTTCCTTCTGGGCCACCAAACCTCGTTAACAAAATAACCATCCCACTCCCCAGGCATGTAATCCACAAAGCCTGAGTTAGGTGCCCAGGCTGCCTATGCGATGCATGGGGAGAGATAGGCACCTAAGAATGGGATCCACAAGCGCAAGTGTACGCTGGGTGTGGAGTGCCTCAGCTAACCAATAGCACATGCTGAAGAGAGGGGTGTGGCCTAAGCCCCACCCCTATCAGGGAATTAGGTGCCTAGATTGGGGGGAGGTTGGATCCACAGCCAAGAACCCTCTCTTTGAGTCAGGTACCTAAGTCTTTTCTTGCAAGAACAGAGGTGGTGGCACACGCCTAACACCACACAAAAAGAGAAAGGGTCTGGGGGTGGAGTGTAGGCAGGGCCACACAGGCAGTTTGGGTAGGCTTAGACTTCCCCTGCCTTTGCTCCCCACCACCCATGCACCCAGGGTGTGGGATACTCCACTTTAATTCCCAGCTGTGCCTGAGGAGAAGAAGGGATATGAACAGTGGCGTCTCACCTTCAAGGTGAGTTCACTATCCACTGAACTATAGAGTCATTCTCATTCACTCACGTTCTCCAGGGCAATGCATAGGTAATACGCAGTGGAACAGAACCAGAGATTGAGGGAGCCACACATCAGAATATCCCATAGCTCAGTGGTTAGGGCATGCACCTGGGAGACCCCTGTTCAAACCTGTTCTGTTCATCAGGCAGAAGGAGGAATTGAACCAGGCTCTTCTACATTGCTGTTGAGTTCCCCAACTCCAGGGCTAAAGGTTATAGGGGAGACTGCCATTGCTTCCTTCTCCCTGTGGCTGTTACATGTGCAGTTAGGTGTGCTCAGAGCATACTTCCCAGATTGGGCCCTGCAAGCAAGATAGGCAAGGAAATGCCAAGTTTTACCTGGTTTGAGGCTCCTGCCGAGGCATTAGCTAGGTGCTGGTTATCACCCTGAGCCTGCAGTGTGCATGCCCAGAGTCAGAAACTGGATTTTATTCCACTTTATGTATCATGAATGACATATCATCTGAGGTCTGATTGCAGAAGCTGTAGAAGAAAGGGTGATAAAGAGATAGGGAAAACGCACAACTGTATTTTCAAATCATCAACTGAATTCTCACACAAGGACTCAGAAAAATCAGCTTTGGGCTTGTAAACTGAACAAATTTGATCTGAAAATCATTGAGAGATAACAGGTGAAATCCTGACCCCCTTGGACCTCAATCATGTCACTGTTTTATCCAATAAAAACAGCATAGCACAAGGTCATTTTTGCAGGTACATTTCAGATCATCCTCTAATTGCACTTTCTAACAACATTCCTTATTCCCACATTTTTCTCCGATGAGCAATGTTGGTAGCAAGTTAAATGTCAGCAATTTTATGTATTTAAGTAGAGAAGTTAGCAGTGTATGATATGGTCTGGTTATCTTTTGGCATTTTTTTACCCAGTGAAGCTTAGTTCAGATGCAACATCTGGTTTTTCTAAAAAGTTTTATATTTTACCCAGTGGTTTAGCTGGGCTGAGTGAGACAAAAGGAGATACAATGTCTTCCGCCAAGGTCATAATCTTAATCACTGTCTCAGCCAGAATTATAATGCTTCTAGCTCCTAGCTGTGTGCTTCAATTTCTCGCCGCACGTCACTTGATATTTTCATTCCTCATAAAGAAGCAATGGTAACGTTATTAAGAGTAACAGGTTATTTCCTCTGTAAAAATGTACTGAAATTTTTTTCATCAAGTTCACCACCATGTCATTGCCTGTTCTTTGAAAATGCAAGTTTTATATGCCTTGGTGACTAGATTTTGATCCCACTGAAAGTTTGATGAGGTCTCTGGAGAAGGCTGAGGGCATACTTCCTAAATGATGAAGATGGGCTGGTTGGCCAACATCCTGTAGAACTGATTTCGGTGCTGCTGAGGATTAATTTTATTTTATTTATTGCATGCTTATTAATGTCAGGGAGATCCCTGTTCAAACCTGTTCTGTTCATCAGGCAGAAGAAGGAATTGGACCAGGCTCTTCTACATTGCAGTTGAGTTCCCCAACTCTAGGGCTAAAGGTTATAGGGGAGACTGCCATTTGGATAGATGGCTTTATTATTTAATATCTAAATAAATAATAAAAATATTGTACATAGCTTGAGATTTACCTTCATGTTATTCCTACAGATCAAAGAGGACATGTTTTTTTTTTTGAGATCCCTTGAGTGTCTTTGCCAGCAATGGAGGCCTCCAGCAGCACATGGACTTCTTCTCTTAGAGCACAATCAACGAACTAGTCTCTGATTAAGGTGAGCAGTTATGTTCCCATAGGTTCGTGAAACTTTTCTGTCCTATTGTTGTTGGTCAGAAATATCTCATGTAGGTAAAGCATGTTTATACAATTGAATTAATGGGTATCTGTCTTTGTTCTTTTCAGGTAATGCCTCTCCTTATATGGAAAGTACATTAGTCAACATTCTATATGCACATGAGAGCTTTCTCAGTGGGAATGGGAGACAGACTGATACCGGGCCCAATCCTGAAGTCCTTACTCTGGCAAAATCATATTTAAGTCAATGGGAGTTTTTTCACTTGATACAAAGCCATCAGGACTGGGCAGTGGTTGGGCTGAGGCTGAAGTCATTTGAGATGCACTTTGTTCCTGGTTGAAGTCAATAGAAGTATTGGCCTAACCTATGATTTAAAGACTCACCCTACTTTTTTAAAACAGTGTGATATAGATATAATTACAATTATTTTGATATAGACTACATGGCACTTCCCTTCCACCTCCCTCAAAAGAACTGTACTTACAGGGTTACCTCACAAACCCAAAACAAATGTATAACTCACCACAAGGCAAGGAATGTTCTATTTATTCCATGATTGATAGCTGTTAGCAGAATTTTCACATTTAATTCACAACAGAAAATAACTAAGCCAAGAAGATGGAAAGGTTTTTCTAAAGATTTAGCACTGTTGACCATTCACTGAAAACATGTGACTTTGTTGCAGGGTTGGCTCCAAGGTTTTGGCCGCCCCAAGCAGCCAAACAAACAAAAAAGCCGGGATCGCGATCTGAGGTGGCAATTCGGCGGGAGGTCCTTCGCTCTGAGCAGGAGTGAGGGTCCGTCCGCTGAATTGCCGCCAAACAGCTGGACGTGCCGCCCTTCTCCAAAGTGGCTGCCCCAAGCACCTGCTTGGTAAGCTGGTGCCTGGAGCCGGCCCTGCTTTGTTGTATAACTGAATCCTTTACAAATAGGGTAACTATGAAGATACTTGACCTTTTGTGACAAAACTGTGCTACTAGATTGACGCTTGGACAGGTTACCTCTAGGGTCCACAACCAAAGAGAATGCTGCAAGGTTAATTTAAAAAGTGGTTCTTCACCTGTATGCTTGCTTAACACATGTAATATATTTACCTAGTAGAATGAAGGCATTTTCCTGCTTGAGTTTATTGTAAGACACCCAGCAACTTGCTGTGACAGGACAAGAAGGGAATAAATGAAATAATTTTAATATAATATCAACAGAGTATGATAAGAAACCATAGGAGAAAGAGAACATTTTTTTGGAAAATTCTGCATATGTATATATTGCATTGTATAGTTTTACAGACGAATTTACATCAAGGACATAATATATTTTTTAAACACTGATTCGTAGAGGACAAAAATTATTATTTTTCCTTCTGTACAGAAATGGGAGTGGGATTCTTCTTTTTGAGATAGTTTGATGTTCTTTAAGAGGAGTACTCATATTCTTCAGCACTGCGGCGTCCAAAATCCATCCAGCCCATGTAATCTCTGTCGTTTATCCTGTGTGTAGGGTCAATGTTCTGTACCCTGTTTCCCATCATTGAGATCCTTCCAGTAGGACCTAACAGATGAGACATGAGGGGCAAAGAATAAGTGAATTCAGTTTTTAAGCTTCCCCTAATCTCATTTTTGTATCTGTCACTTATTAATATGTACAGTAGTGAAGTTTATACAAATTTTACAGCACCTTTTTGGAAAATAATGTAAACATGGGGGGAATGTACTCAGAATTATTTGCTTTTATTCAAAATAAAAAGCATATTCATTGGTGGTTTGCTACAGGCATTTATAATTGTGTGCATTAGGATTTGTGTACAGCCTGACTAATATCTGCACATTTCTCTCAGTGCATGGGGGTTCTCCCACGTTGTGGAACCTGGAGCCTTGGATTAACTATTTTGTGGGTCTCTTCGCTGACTCCATTTGGCAGGTCATTTCCTCCCTCTCCCCATCCCTATCCCTGGCTGCTGGGAGGGAATGGGGGCATGTTTTTTCTTCACTGCCTGGCCACTGAGAGGGATGAGGAGGGACCTGCTAGCTTCAGCCCATTTGCTCAGTGTTCTCTCTGATGTCTCCCTCTTGTTTGTTAGGCAGTGTGTGGAATGCTCTGTGATGAGCTAAATCTACTTGAGAGTAGGATCATGCCTGGGATGAGGACTCCATGACAGTCCTCTATGTTGCCCAAAGAGCCACAGATGGTGCAGAGCACTAGAATACATATTCTTACATTGTACCTTTGTTAGGAGTGGGATGGAGTTCAGATATGCAGGTTTTCCAGAGAAGCTGGGCATGTTTGTATGTGAGAAGGGTCTGGCTAGAACTTGCAGATACAACTGTGCTGGAACTTTGAGTACTATTACTTTTGGGCAACTTCTGCTATCAAGCTAAGGTTCTTCTATGCTTCCTTCTGCCATAATATTAGAGTGCTGATCTCTGCTATTGCCTTTGGTTTTTTGTCCATCTATGTTTAAAGCATTAATAGGATGTAAGGCCAACATTTTCTATGGTAAATCAAGGCCCAGAGATTAAAAAGAAAGGTCTTCATCTGTCTTAACACGTTACATCATTAGAACTGAAAGAATTTTAAAATGTTAATTGACTCCGCTTCTAACCAAAGAATGTAAAAATTTGCACTTCCATGGATACATTTTAACCTCATGTGCAGGAATACTCTAATTATAAAAATAAGCTTAAACCTTCTATGACTGAAGTCAATGACAAAGGTCCCATTAACTTTAATGGGAACAGGAACAAACATGAATATTGTTAATATTTAGCTTTGACCCAGATCTGTGAGTCTTTACATTTATAAAATTAAAAAAGTCCTCAAATCTATAGAATATTCTTACTATATAAGAATTTATATTTTAAAGGAACACCTGCTGCCACAGGACTTTTATGTGGATGGAGTTTTCTTTACAGATGGAAACGATTCAGAACAAAATAATGAACATATGGTTAGGAACTTAATCACTTTGTCGATGATTGCAGAGGAGAGGACATATAAACTGAATCGATTCCCCTCCTCCACTCTTTAGACATTTACTTAAACCAAAATGGCAAAAATTTAACTACTAAAAAGTCTGATTGATTAACAAATTAAGGATATCAGTTAAATGCTCAGAAGCTGAGAAATTCACATACATAATTCAAAGTATGTAATTAAGGGGCAATGAGAATGTGGTTTCTTGGCAGTATAGTCTGATACCATTGGAACAGATCATCACTCAGATCGGGGACTGTTTCTACTTAAAAGACTTCTGAGTTTGCAAATCAATTACCCACTGGGCCCTATTGACTCTTTTAGAACCATTGTGATCTGCCCTGACAAATAATTTTAAATCATGTGTCTCTGACTTGACAGCCACAATGTGTCTCCTTTACCCAGCTGCCAGATACACGATAGAACACTTTTAGGATAACGTAATTCAAAGAGCTAGTAGGTCATGCACAGTAAACTGAATTTACTAACATCAAAATAGAGGTCATCTTAATTACCTTCAAATCTCTGAAGGTGGCCTATAGACTCTACAGAGCCACTGGCCTTCAAACATTTCAGCTTCAAATTACAGCCATTTTTGAAAGATGGTAGAACCCAACCCTAACCTTGTGAAATAATAACTTATTTTTCCCCACAGTTATAACTGGCAATGCCTCTCCACAAATCATAACCACAAACATCACCACTAATCATTATTAGCACAGCAAAAGTCCCAGTATGTGTAGTGTCTTCTAGCCAGTAGGTATGGATTGAACATCCCCAAAGTGACTAAAACTGGAATTGAGGGGCTATCTTGAGATTTGTCATCATATATCAGTTGGAAGCTTCATATCAGCCATTTTTTTTAATTTAAAAGCAATATTGATGAAATTACTACACTGAGCAACCCCTCCTAGAACACACAAGCCATAAGGGTCTTCTGCTAAAGGAGGATAATATAATTGGTAGATAATGGACTTGAAGGGGAAGTAAATGAGAGGCCACAATGTGCTTTTCATGAGATCCAGCCATACAAAGGTTACATATTTTTGTCCTTTCCCTCTAAATTCTTTATCCTCTGATGTTACAAGTTCATTAACATGTCTGAGTCCAACCATCTGTCTGCGATGGGCTAGAATCAAGCTTGATCTCTACCAGGTCACAAGAAAGTATTGTAGCATATGCCTACAGTGGCTTTAAGGACTATGAACATACTTCTAAATATAGGTGGGTTTTTTTTAAGTGTGTGGTTTTTTTTTTAAGAAATCTGAGCTAAATCAATAAGATATAAGATATCTTCTGTCAGGTAACATTTGAGATAAAGCCAAAGTGTTCTTTCATGATACCTGGTTGAAATAGTTGGAATGCCAGTCAGGAATTTTGGAGAATGCACAAACTATGAAACCATACTGAAACAGAATAAATAGATAAACTTCTAAACAGCAGATTTTCAGGAAATGAAGGATGGAAATATAAAACTGGAAAGATATAATGAAGATTCTGTTTCATAGATCTCCTGTAATAATAATGCTTAGTCCCACAAATCATTTAATTATAGCACTGATCTTTCTAAATGAACATCAAATCCTCTTCTCCTCATATTACTTTTACTGTTAAACTGGACTCCAGAATGGACATGATTAGATTTGGCATGATTAGGCACTGTTCAGACGTCTGCAGAGCATGCTCAGAAGTGATATTTTTTCCAGTTGCTTATAACTTTATTATTACTTGAGCATTTTATATATGTAAGTATGAATATGTGTGTGTGTGAAAACACAGACAATATATATGCTGTATATCACACACGACATATACTGCAGAGTCCTATCAGGAGTAAAGAAGAAATTCAACATAGTGTGGAGGCCAGCACAATATAAGCTCTACAATGAGGCCTCAGCATGTGTGACAAAGAAGAGGTCTCTGTCAGCCCTGTGTAGGCCAAGGTGAAGGGAAATGAAAGGGACAGGCCACTGCTTGGGGGAAGTGAATTTCATCCTAAGTGCATGAGGGGAGATAATTCTGGTCTGGGAGTGAAGTAATTGCCTGACATCAAAACAGCTGTGTGATAGCAGGTAAAAAGAATCTCCTGTTGGCCCTGACACCCATCCCCTTCACTTCCAAGATATGCTCCTTTCCTGCAATGCAGGGTGTAGAATATAGGGAGACTGTAGCAGATGAAAAGACCTCTGAAATCACGTGTAGTAGTTTTTGCTGCACTTGGCAGCCATGTTGCTCACTGGAAATGCTCTGCAAGTAGCCTGCCCTCCAGAATACGCGAGCAATAGTTCGGTGTATTCAGATACAAAACTGAGCTCTTTTTCAGAGCAGAGCATTTAAATTAAAAAAAAAAAAAAAAGTGAATGAGCCCCTTACAGGGAAGTTTGAATGGATAACTATTTGCAAGTGTTTTAAATCCAGTAACTCTTTTGGAAGAACAAATATCTAGCTTTTCAGGAGGAAAGCATTCCTTTTCTAAAGACATTCTTTGTGTCTAAGTATATACTATAATGTATATACTGTAAACCATTTTATTTTGTGCAAATATATGTTTTGTGGGCCTCTAGCCTACAAATCCTTACTCATGTAGGTTGTCTCATTACCTACTCAGGTGGGTAAGTGCAACTAATGTAAGAGTTTGAAGAATCAAGCCCTTAAATTGCACTACTCCGTTGTCACTGTATGCAACAAACCTAGCTGCAACACCACAGATGTTGGCAGTTGTACAATTCTATTGTACTCCAAGCAATCATGAAACTAGAAATGTAAGATAGATTCTTCCTGTACGTGTATAAAAGCAAATGCTGAATTCCTTATTAATATTTTTCAATATTTCCTTTACAAATGTAGATGATCACAGTAGTCCCTTCTGTCCTTAAAAAAAAATCTATGAATCTATAAAAGTACTGAATCTCAAAAGGGAATTATTTTGACACAGACACATGGCATAATACGTTGGCTATTACCTTTTCTGGCTTGCTGGAGATATTTGGCCAGCAAAGCTCCAATGTTGGCTTTTTGGTCAACATTTCCATCCAGCCGCTGGATAGGTTTCAGCTGGCCAGCAGATGAAGGGACACGAACATGTCGGTGATGTTCTGTCAAGCTCTGCTCAAGCTCAGTGGCCACAGGATTCTCATTGTGCGAGCCTGTAGCCTGCTGTCCAAAAGAGCTCGTTGACAGCATAGCAAGGAACATGTAGATGCAGATACCACTGTACATAGCTGGAGGGAAAAGAAATTAGAGGTTGTTAGAATGGTGAACTTCACTGTATTTAATACTATCCCCTTCCCTCCCTTTTTTAAAAAAGTGCTGACTTCTGAACAAACTAGATTTGAGAGAGTACAGTAAACAAAGGAACAGTTTTAAACGGGAGAAGATTGGCAAAAGAGTATTTGACAGGTAGGTAAAATGTTTCTAGATTTAAGAGGCAGTAGAGAGCTAGGGCTGTACAGTGGTACAAGTAGAAATAAAATCAATCCATTGCAAAGCTCTTTGCTGAAGAACTGCCTTCTTCTCTATGTTGTATTTCCTCCTCTATCTCAGGAGAGAACATTTCAGTATTTCACCATCTTGTTAAAATATACAAGTGATACAAATATTCAGTTTTGAAAAGCTGGTAAAGAATGTTTATTTTAGGAACATGTATTTTGTTTGTGCTTAATTGTTCCAGCTGTTCTACCATATCTTAGAGAGAGAAGGAAAAGGTCACCAAGGGAAAGGAAAACAAAATCATACTCCAACAATTGAAAAACGGTGGAATAAACGTGGGTCTCAGGTGAATTTTCAAAGCTGTTTAAGAATTAGACATAGAATGATTTGGAACAATATGTTTCTTCATGTAAAACAGAGAATAAGTGTTATGGATGTTTTCTTGCTTCTATAAAATCCAAATATAGGACTTATTTTACATTTCTAGAAGAACGCTATTTCAGTTTATATAACTATTTAATGCAAATCTGTGTATTATAGTTAAGATATGTAAAGTAAGTATTCAGTTTGTAAACAGTCCATTGTTCAAGAGGAAATATTGAACTGAATACTTCTTAATGCTAGAATGCTATTTTCTATGCGTATATGAAATATTTCATGGCTAAGAACCCCTAAAACGTACAAGATATTTAACAATATACCAAAAAACAAAACAAAAAACAAAAAAACCCCTTGTGTCTCAAATATGAACTGTTAAAGCAAATTTACCCATCACATACATTAGAGTTAATAATGTTTTAATGTGAGGCAAACAGGTTTTCATCACAATTGTTATGAGATGAAAGAAAAGTTTCAAAGTAGTAACACTTCAGGATTCTACAGCCCCAGCATAATTAATACTTTGTCAGTGAGGCATCAAGTACATCCTTGCTACTTATAGAGTATATGCATTTTATATTAATGTCATGTAGAGATGGGTGTTCTAACCTGGCTACTTCATATAATGAGTGTGACTTAGAATCTAAAGTTCAATATTTAAATGCATATATTAGTTCATTTTCATGATTTTATATCTCTATCATTTACATGATTAATTTTCACTTCCCATCACAAATGCTGTGCTATCCTAGAGAACTAGATGCTCAGTTACAAAACTAAAACATAATTTTGCTTTCCAAGGTCTTTTTCAAGGATATAAAATAGTTTGTTTAATGACATAAAAATGTTGGTAAAAAGAACAATAGAAACATGCATTATTCCCTGCCCCCACATATTAAAGAGCTGAACATTATGTCCTGAATATTAAAGATCTAAATTTTTTTAGTGAAGATGCCTGTGAGAATATTCATGAGAAGAATACACTGAAAGTTCATATTAAAAAAATAAGTAGACAAATAAATAGCCAGTCACATCATTTTTACATTTTTCTATAAGCAAAGATTCACCCAACCTATGGCTAAAAAGTTACTGACCCATCATCTCCTACCTTTAAGTAAGATACTTTTTCCTAGTTCAAATCAGAGAGAGAGTAGTGCTCAGGTTAGATAAGTTCTAACAGTTTGAAATGCTGCTCCTTAAATAGTCTAGCCCAGTGCTTGTGGTAGTGTCATCTGTTTACACAGGTCTGACGCAGATGAAGGATCACCACATGCTCAACTGGATGCTATCACTTCGTAACAAATTAATTTATCTGTGATGGGGAAGGGGGGGGGTCAAAAATCTGCTAACGAAGAAGCTCTGCGTTCTTAACCCTTTCCTCACCAGAGCTTCTTTGATCGTGATAGATGCCAGTAGCGGTTTTGTTCACTAGTATTGTAGTTTTAATTAAGGAAGTGACTTTGCTTTGGAGGGGGGGGGGATACTAATGTCTTTTCACCACTTTACACTTTCAAAGCCCAAAAAGAACGCACCTTAATTAGGGTTCAGTGTCTGTATTTCAGCTTGCAGTGAAATGACGCTCTAACGCTGAACATTTATACTTTCTTCCCTTCTCCAAAGAGAGAGACAAACCCAGAGCGAGACTGTTTTGTAATCTTTCTAAAATTCGCCCAGATATAACATACCTAAGAAGTGTTCAGAGGCTTTTTGGCTGATAAGGCTCCTTTAAATATTGTTTTAAACATCTCCCCCCCACACACATGTTTAAAAAACTTCAAGTAACGGTTCCTGGTTTCAAACCTTTGGCATAAAGAGCAGCGAAATGCACATACTGGCTAGCTGAGCTCTCGGCATTAATTAGCGATGACTGGGTTTATTTATTTATTTATGGATGGATTCTATAAATCATGCATTTCTAGGATGTAGAATAAGGAATCGATGCAGTGTGAGAACTGTACAGAATTGTCCAGACCACTCCAAACACACTGGAAGTTGAGGGAGTGCCGGATAATTTCTCTCTCCTCTCTATCCCTAAAACAATGGTTCTAACAGATTGTGTGTGTGACCTTCTCAATCCTACTCCTCACGTGTTAATTTTCCAGTGCAATACACGCTTTTTTGGGGGTAAAGGGGTGAGGGGTTCTTGGACAGGATCAGGTTTTTCTCACCCAACGGGCACCGTCCTGCTAGAAGGAAGGAATTGATAAAACAACAAAATTCGTAGGATTGATTCGCTCTAATTCCAATATTCACATGCGCAGAGTCGGAGGGGATCCTGGGGCTTTGCTACGCCGGTGCCATGCGAGGGGGGCTCCAGAGGCCACTGATGTGCCAAACGCTTTATGCTTAGACCAGAGGGGGTGTTGTTACGGGTTACGGCTCGAGGGTCTGTCTTTAGTGTGAAGCTGAGTTTGCGCGCCCCGTGCCCAGCGCGAACGAGTGGAGCTGGAACTGCCAGCAAACAAACGGCTGAGCCCCTGAGCAGTGGGAAACCACGGGATAAGGCGTGAGGATGGAAACCTAGACTTGCCTTGTGCTTTGCTACCCGCCTGACACTGCACCCATCGCCCCACATCATCTTCCCCCTGCAGCCAGAACTGTTCCTTTCCAGTCCCACCGCTTGCTTTCGGGGAGCAAATCTGCGTGCCTCTGGCGCAGTGTCACTTCCCCAGCCGTACACACCCACTCCCACCTCTGCCTTCTTCCTACCCCTTATCACCTGCCCGCTCCCCCCACAACCCTCTTGCTCCCCAGTATTTAGCATCAGCTTCCCCCATTCGCCACAGAACTGGCTGCCCCTCTCTAGCGTCCCGTGCAAACAGCTGATTGGGAGTGGGAGGGGGAAAGCGAATCAGAGCAAGATCCAAGCCGGAGCCCTGGCCCAGCTGGTGAATCACGTATTGAGCGGTGAGGACCATGCGCGCTGTGGCACTTTGCTCCGCAATTATGATTGACACATTGATTGACACGTCAATTCTTGTTGCCTCTCCCTGGCCCGGACCGCTGCTTGGTCACTGTCTTCTGCTGTCACCTACCGCTCACCAATGTGGCACCGGGTGGCTAGAAAACAGAGAGAAGCTGCTCAGAAATACTAGACCTGCTTTCCCCACTAGCTTCCCGCTCACCGCCAGGCAAACCGAGTTAAGGAACGAAACTCTCCTCTTACCTTCTTTCTCCTACCCCCCTTCTCTGGAGCTCAGCCCGAAGTGCCTCTGGGTACAGTGGGTCGGGGCGGATTAGACTTCACAGCACTAGTTATAAATAAGGCACCCACCGCCTTGCCTCGTTTTAATCTACACATCCGAGACACAGACTACACGAGTGTGATTTTTTTCTCTCCCTTCCCGCTAAGGAAAGGAGCCAGCGCGCAATCTGCTTTCCTTTTAAGACCCCGGCCTTCTCCTGAGACCCACGTGTCGTGCAGGGCTGGGGGCTGGGGGCTGGCTGCACAAGCAGCAGCAGCTCTGGTAACGGGGGCAGTGCGGGGAGGGGAGAGGACCCTCCATGAAATGTTAGTATAGCAGGGGAAAGAGGAGGGGGCCTCTTCCATAGAAACGAGCAAAGGGGGCTCCTATGGAAACGACAGGGGACGTGATCGTCCCCCTCCAAAATCTCTTCGCTTCATCCTCTGCTACAGCTTCGCACGATCCCTACAGCACGTTGGGACCTCCTTGTAACCCCCCCCCCGCACACACACACACACACACACACACACACACACACACACGCGCGCGCGCCAGCTCTCCGGGGATACCTATTGGAGTGGCCCTGTTGCATGTGCTACTGCAGGTTGATTTTGCAACTCGTCTCCGGACAGGTTGTGCCCAAAGCCCCCTCTGCCTAAATTGGCCTCATTGCATTTGTTCCTTTGTTTTGCACCCCTGGCCTTCTCCTGCCCAGCAGCGGTCTTCTTTGCAAGCGCTCCCACCCTGCCCCGGCAGAAGAGCGGCTACGCAGCCAGCCGCCCATAGAGGGCGCTGCGAACTCGCCGACTCCCTCACGCGGCTCTTCCGCCGGCGCTGTGCCCCTGGCCTGCATGTGACCCCGGGCGGCCTGCGGGGCCTGGCTTTAACCCACCCCGTGCCTGAATCCGCTGGGGGAAACCATGCAACGACAACGTCACACAACGGAAACAAAAGACACCCCACCTCAACTTTCAGCCGAAGCCTTTCTTTTGAGGAGGGGGATGGTAGACTGAAATTATGCTGTGCAGTTTTAGCCCAAGAGCAGAATCTCAGTCTCCTACACCCAGTTTGTAGGTAACAATCCTGCCTTGGTGAAATGCGGGATTAGGGGGGTGTCTACACTACAGACGAACCCCAGGCTCTGACTCAAGTTTGAACCCAAACCCCCTCTTCCCCCTTCTGTCCACACACAAATCAGTCTGCCTCAGGTCAGCAAGCACTCAGGACCCAGCTAGGGGCGTGGGTCAGAGACAGAGTCCTGCTGGGTCCCAAGCCCTGTCATTTTGCAGTGGGACGCAGCTCAAGTCACAGACCTGGGTTAGAAGATGAGCATCATGCACCATGGACATGTTAGCATGAGACCCAGGTCCAGCAATTGTAAGCCCAGGTTTACGCCATAGCATGGGTGCTCAAGCAGGACTTGGAGACACTAACTCCACAAGCCATACCCTTCCTGACCTAGTAGGTCTTTTCCATCTCTTGATTCTTCTCACTTCATCACAAACTGCTCCCAGGAAGATGGGACTACAATTAGCCATGGGGAAGGCAGCACCTTGGACAGCACCTTCCCAATAGCCTTCCCTCTTTGCCTGAGGCAGTCCCTCTTTGATGGGAGTGCTATTGCCTGCTCTTTCCATGTGTGGCTAAAGATGACATTATGGGGCTTCATATTCTCTCTCAATGATTTTGATTTTTTGTGACTTCCTGTGTTGCTGACTGACCTGAAAACTGATTTTTCTCTCGTACACCCTCACCAGAGGATAAAGAGGCTGCCATCAGAATATAAAGAAGTGTTTTTTAAATTAGACATAGAAGGGGCCCAGAGCAAGAGGGGGAGAGAGGCAATAACATACATACATAGGGGAAGGAGAAAAGAAGAGCAACACTGAAAATAGATTCAGCATTTTCTTCAAAGTAATTTGCTAATGGAGCTGGTTCCTTGGCTAAGAGTTTATCCCCTCTGTCAAACCAAGCGCATTCCTCATTAGTCAGTTTCAATGTTTTGGCTTACTTATTAAACTGATCACTACTATTACAGAAACAAAACAGACAACATACAACCAGTGGCTAGCTGGAAAAAATAGCACAAACTTTCTGGGAAAGTGCAATACAATGACAATTCTAATAGGGAGCATATCATAATGATTACACTCAGTCCTTGGGGAAGGCCTGCTATTGCTAAGGAGAACATAATGAGGGAAGAGAAAGGCAGACAATTGTGCTGTTTATATATAAAATATTTAATATTAAAAATGTTGATCTGGGTGAACATGTACTGTGTCAACATAAATTCCATCTATAGTATATAATAATATGAGTTCAATTACATGAGTATGATGTGGACTATACATTACTCTAGATTAATTATAAATTATAAAATGTGGTGTTTTACACTAATGGAGAGTGCTGTGTGTGCTGTTGAACAAATGAACATATGGTATAAATCAAGGTTCTAATACTGATGGTCTAAAATACATAAAATGAGAACACTAGCAGTATGCTTGGTGTTGTACAAAAACAAATGGAGAAGATATGAATGTCCATTATATATTGACACTTGTAGCATATCTGCATATATGAGATATGTGTGCCTATGCAGATGTATCGTATTACATGCTCATATACTGATTTTTCCCCTGGACCTCTGCTTTGTTCAGTGCATGGGTTGGGCAGTACTCAGTTAATGAGGCAACTATTCAATATTCGTTTTTTATTCTTATTTCTGCCTTATTCAACTCATACTGAATGCAGATCCCTGACTCATTTGCTATCCGGCCTTCATATTAAATAAGGAAAAATAGTGATAATATAGTGTGTGATAATATAATTACAGACTGCGTAAAGGAAGTAGCAACCTTAATTTTGACACTTCCAGATTTCTGAATGCCTCATTTTGTAACCTTAACTTTCTTTTAATCTATTTTTGTGTATGAAATCCCTATAGATCCTATTCTGATTTATTTTTTTATCCAATTTTTGCACAAAATCAAGCATTCTATTGGTGCTCTATAGATACCTATTAATTGAGGACAGCTTTGCATTTTTAAGGGGGTCAAAATGATATCCTCTTACAATATTTGGATCCAATAGGATGGGATATGAGTCTGGGTGCATTAAATGAGTTCTCACAAATCTTAAACTATTTTCATGGACCTGGATATAGCACATCCATTATTGTTATTACTTCAATAGCTAATTTAAATGATGCCCACCATTATTATCTGGAGTGAGTCTACTGTCAGAAAACATGCAGCTATTGTTACTTTGATGGGAATTGGGAAGAATTTATCTTTTCATAATCCTAATCTTTAGCTTTCCTAGCATCTCATAAGTAGTATAGGCAACAATAATCCATTTGTGAGGTTCTTTTCTAAAATAATTTCTATCTGAATCCAGAGGACCACTCTATGATCCTTTTCCATTCTGCTAGGATTGTTTTGTTTGTAACATCTGATCTAACTGTTCACTTTGTAGGGTACATTCACTCAATCACATTTTATCACACATATTTTGAACAATTGTAACTCCTAGGAAAGATTGTGCTATAGCACGATATATTCCAAATTTTGTTAAGTTGAGAGGGCCGTACCTTGCATGAATATTCTGCAATTTTACTCTTTTTTTCTGGGTGTAAAACTTTCCTTTCAATAGAGATAATTAGGGCCAGCTGGCTGGTGCCCAACATAGCTTGGGGAGGGGGCACAAAGGTGGCTGTAAACCACCTTTACAGCTTCCTGATCCTCATACCACTAGGTCAATAAGGGCAGCTGTAAGCCACACTGGTTGCAATATCCCTAAGGGAAAAGAAGCTTGATGCAGAGAAAGATATTGTAAATTACGGTCACCTTAGGCATCAGTAACATGCCACTGGCAAACATCTACATCACAGTGGCACATAACGTGCGTATCAGTATGCCACCAGGTACTCACTGCTTGGTCAGGATGTCCTGCCTACCACAGGTGTGGTAGGAAAAAAGGAAGACAGAGATGGAGTAAATATTTTCATGGGCTTGTCTCTTCCTGACCTGGGACCTATATAACAAGATGATGAAAGTTCCCTTTCATGGTAGCAAGATGTGCTGTACTTTTCATCCACTGGTTACTCTTTGGACTTTACTCTGGAGTCAAGTTCTCTGGAGTACTTAGTGGTCTTGGTCCACAAAGCCTTCTTTAGTACACAGTCAATAGCCTTTTTGAAACAGAAGAATCTCTTTAGGCCCTTACTTATATGTTACTCACATGCTTAACCTTCCCAGCATCCTTCAGACAGTATTTTCTACTCAGGTGCAGCTCTTTTTAACCCTCCTTTAGCAACACGCCTTTCTCTAGTACTACCTCGCCTCCTACCAACTGAGTAGGAAGAGAGAGGCCCCAGGCTCTTCCCATTCACAGCATTCTTAATGAAAGCATAAAGCCAGGTCTTAAGATGTGCTAATAGCCAGGTCTCCTCTCCCTCACTTCATCAATGAGTAGCTGGATCATAGGCTAGCCTGAAAGAGTCACAAACTATCCAGTGCTTACTCTAGCTTTTTAAAGGGCTTGGGTTTTTCCATCCTTTTTTCCTTGTGACAGTTTGTTGTGTCACAGAGTAATTCTCCAGGAATGGGGAGAGGGTAATTTATAAATAGCGTGGGTGTGAGTTTTACCTCAGATGGCAATGAACTCAGAAATGCTCATTGCATACTTAACCACACCCGGTCTCTTTTTTACAGTAGCAGATATGTGTGTGTTGTGCTATGCTTTATTCCATGCGAAGTATTTGTGGGTTTTGTCTCCTTGGAATATATTTTCTTAGCAATATGACTTGTGGTTTGCAACAACATCGTTTTCATGTGGCATGCATAATGCAACACATCAACTTATTGTGCCTGTGATGGATGTTTTTTTAGACACGGCTTCAGACTCAAAGGCATTTACATTCTATATCAGAAAATTAGCTACATACTGCTAAGCATAAGCATATGGAGATGGTGTATCACAGAGACTAAAGCCAGATGGCTGTTGTATGGGACTAAGGAGGCCTCGTGCTTGGGAGGGTAGCCAAAAACTACATTTTAAACTCTTTAAGTGTTATATTTTTCTGATTTGCATTCGTGTATTTTTTTTTAACTCAGACCCTGTTGCTTAAGAACAAGGTACACTAGGGGAACTTTATCCTTATTATGGCTCCACTG